GCATTATTTATTATTTATTATTTGCATTATTATTTTTAAGATTTTTGAGAGATGCCAGGAAGGCATCATGTTATTTTAATTTTTGTGTTGCTGGCCTAAAGAGAGGCAGCATTTATATTTATTTATTATAATTCGTATTTGCATTTTTATATAACTATCATTAACCGGTACTTCAGGAAAGCTTTGATAGTTATCGTATTTATTTTGTTAAGTTTCTTGTTAAAAGTTATGTCCAACTCTGTTATTTTAATATTTGATATTTAAATTATAAATTTTGATAGTTTAGTAGTCCAACCTTTCAATTAAACACAGTCACTCGTCATATTTCAGAAATATCATCATAGGAAATGACTCTGAAAATGGTGACAATATATTCAATATATTATATTTATTATTATTTTGTAATATTAATTAGTGAAAAAAATAATTATTATAAATAAAGTACAATTGAAACTTTGAAAAAAATATCAATTGATTATTACAAAAATTTAACTAGTTAATAAACTATTTATTATTTATTGTTAATAAAATTTATATATTAATTAATTTAAAAATAATAAATAATAATCTTATATTAATTATTTGTCTTTATTGGATAACTGCCAAAGTTATTATAAAATATCAGTACTGTATTATTATAAAACTATCACATACTAAGTAAACATAACATTTATTAGTAATAATGAGAGCCTATTCAACAAATAAAAGAAAATGCATTGCATGATGATCTTGAAGTACATCAATTATAATGAGATCAAGCAATTATAAAATTATTATCATTAAATGTTGATTGAATATTTACATTATAATAATATTTATCAAGAGTCTGATTATAACAACGTTATTATTCAAGTGTGATCTAAAATACATATTATATTTCAATAATTCTTAGATAATGATACAAATATAATTTACATATTATCTGATAAGTAAACTATAACTATTCCAAGTGTGATGACAAATTCATGAATTAATTATTACTTAAATGATGACATATATGTAATTTAATCATTATTGAAATAGTTATAATCTGAATTAAGTAATATAATTATAATATAATTAGATTATAATTATATTACTATTTAAATAAATTTACAAATTTAAAAATTCTAAAAATAAAAGTAAAATAATTAAAAATTAAATCAAAATTAAATAAAAAATAACAAAATTTATATTATTATAATAATAATATTTATTAATACAGATATAGTCAAACATCTCTATAGTCATGTCCATTTATAATCACACCTCTTTATAGTCATCCTATTTTGCTTTCCTATTTACATATAAACATAATAAAAAAATCCCTCTATAGTTACATCCCCTCTATAGTCACCAAATTTTGCTTTTCCGAGGATGATGACTAGAGAGATTTGACTGTAATTAAAACTAAATATATTATATTTTATAAAAAGAATTAATTAAATGTATAAAAAAGAACATAATATTAAAATATTATTATATATTAATTATTTGTCTTTGTATTTAACTTGTTTACAAGATATTATATATTCTTGTATTAACTTTGGATGCTTTGAGATTATAAATAATTACTTGTTTATAATATGTATTTGTATTGCAAAACTTGATAAAAATTTTGAAACTCCATATAAGAAGATTTTGCTAAAAAAAACTTTGTAGTTTCTAATTGGTTAGACTTTAGATATGATTAACACGTGAGTTTAATATGAACTCTGGTACCTGAAAATATAAAATTTTTATTTATGGAAATATTAAGAGGTAGTGAATACGAAGAATAAATAGTTTTTATTATCGTATTACTGATAATCGTCGGATCTATAAATAAAAATAATATACTAGCTGTACGAGTACGGAGACTCTACAATTAAACTTTTTGAGAAAGGAATTCAAACCCCAAATTTGTCATTTCACTCTTTCTCCTCTGTTCGAGCGGTCACTACCTCGTTATCAATCCCTTCCGAATCATAACACGTGTCTCGGACTTTTCTAGCAACAGCAAACATACCAGGTATAGATACAATGAGTAACGCCCAACATACAAGTAGTTGTGAGATGAATGATGCCCCTACAGCGTCAATTCGCCATGATATTGCCGCACCCGCCGATTGTACTGCTTTATAGAAACTGCAGAGGGAAAAGAAATTTACTAAATCGACTGATACACAAAAATATTCAAAATTTAATAATAAACATCTTACCCATTATATCGCGACAATTTACTCGGATCATTAGTTAATGCACCCATTATCCAATATGCATAACACTAACATATTCGAAAAAATAGCGTAATCACTAATCACATCTATTCAAGGGTTATTGAACCGAGCAGCATTTTTTCAAGCATACCTGATACATCGCATCGTTCAATCCATATGACAAATATAAAATCAACTCGCCAACATATCCAGACTCAAAAAGATCTCTCTTGTCCTTATCTTCTTTATTATCGTTCCTTGTATATTTTAATTGAAATGCAAGACCTCCTGCCCAAGTCACCATAATGGATGCAAACAGTATGACAAGTCCGTAAAGAGCTCGCTTGGGACGCGTTAGAAATGCGGCATCCAGAAATATTCCAAACCCCGTGGCGCCAAGAATTTGAAAGAACCAGTACCATAGATTGTTGAAAGCACGTGTTCGCACATTGAAGTAGGCAGCATTTACGTCGTTGAACTAAGGATATTGTAGTTGTATGATAGAACTTAACACAATCAAGTTAGATGCACAGAATATATATTCATGCGCAAACCTGGTAAGCATAAAACCAATTACTAGCCAAAAACATCGGCGATAAAGCAATCATCTTCCAATCCAAGAACAATTTAATTATTTCAGCGCTTTCAGTTTTCCATGTTGGGAACTTTTGAACTTGTACTGGATGTCCATCCGTATGGAATACTCGGCTTGGTGGAAGAAGTGCAAGAGCTGAAAGTGATCCAAAAATCATCAAAATAAGGAATCCAATATAAGTCCCGTCATTGACTGATCCAGCTGTCGAATGCCAGTTTAGAGCGAGTGGAAGGATGGAACCTAGAACAGCTCCTATAGTAGGAGTCAGAAAACTTCATCGGAGTGAAGAATATCTGCCGAAACCAAATCTTTACCCGTATTGAATATTGCCCAGAAAATTCCAATATATTTTCCTTTATTCCGTTCTGAAGGATATGAAGTTAAGATTGCACCTTGACCGGTCCATACCAATGCTGCGCCTACAATATTAGTAAAACGGAAAAATATATCATCTGATTAACAAAAATGTAGGAACCATTATAAGTTAGGCATATTAAACTTACCAAATCCAAGTATTGCTCCAGCAGAAATAACAAATCCTCTGTTTTGATTATGATTATAACTCAATAAAGAACCGGCATATAATGCATAAGTACTAGCGCCTATAGCCATCGCTATTCTTGGCCCAATGATATTTACAATTCCTCCTGCGATGAGACCTCCGACTGAGAATAGAGTGTATAATGCTACGTTTGCATTCGATGCAACTTCTACATCTACTTGACCACCACCGCCCATTCCTTCATTTTTGTTAAATGTAGAATGGAAGATTTGAATAGATAATAAAATAAATCACAAATAGAAAAATATGTTTCACAGCTATTACCGTTTAATGCGTTAAACATTCCAGACGTTAAGAAGAGCACCAAAGCTTTAGGAAAGTTAATGAAATGAAGAAGAAATTTTGCCATTGCAAAAGTGAGACTTAAAGATAAACTATGTGAGAACTTCAATAACCATATTTACAAACTATAATGACTTGTGCTAATGGACTTGCATATCGAATCATCGTTTCTGTCTCTTGAGAATTTAAATAACAATTTGAATTGAATTCTTAACAACTCTCAAAAATAGATTCACTACATATCAATATTTGTACAAATTGTTTTGAAAATTGTAACGCAAGTTAAAAGTATACATTTTTGTATATCACGTGATTTATTCCGATCCTTGACATCCGACCGACGGAATAATTTGAGGGTACATTAAAGATACCAATAAAATGAGTCATCTTTAAGATCATACAAAAAAAGGGGTCGCTAGACCTATTTACTACAAAATAGCGGCCTCTCTAAATGCACACTTCCGAGAGAAATATGAAAATCAAACCAGAGTGCATTTTGTGCATTTATAAAGAGCATTTTACTTAGTAATATGATCAACTTGGGACCGAACCAAGGTGTGCATTTATAGAATAGTGTGTGCATTAGATAGCGATAGAGTGCATTTAGAGAGAGTTGACTGTATAAAGAAAGATCCTTTGCTTTAAAGATGACTAATTTTATTGGCGTCTTTAAGTGTCCTGCACTGTAGCATTTTTTGTTAGTAAGTTTTATAGGAAAAATTTCGAGTTACAAGCTATTTTCAAAAAAGAGTGTGGTGAGAAGTAGTAAAAATTCTCATATCTCATTTTGTATACCGTTACCAAATTACACTTTTGTAAAATATAAAAATACAGTTCGTACATGTACGTATACTGTATACTGTATATCTTAAGCTGACCGCCACTGTTCAAATGTTCTCCATAAATGAATTACGTTACCAATTTCTCCAGGATATAGCTTCCATATATGATAAACAGACAAATAATCATGATGTGAAAATTATCATCAATTCAACTAATGGAGAAGAAATCTTTAACGCGCATTCGGTCGTTCTTTGTGCTAGAAGTTCTTATTTTAATAGAGTTATATTAAATAATGAAACGGTAAAAGAGGAAAATAAATACGTTTTACGAAAGCAAAATATTCAACCCAGTGTTTTTGAGTGTATTTTGAAGTGAGTTGCTTTAAAAATAGATAATGGTGAATTGAGGGATTCCACTTCCTCACTGAACTATTTGCTTTATTTTAATTGACAAAATAGATTTCTATACACCGGAGAAATCGATCTTAAAAAAGAAATACGGAATAATATCATCGATTATCTTTCTTTACTTGCAACAGCTGAGGAATTGATGCTCGATTCTCTTCTTGATTATATTCAATTATACTTATTAAACAATGACCAACCCTATATTCAAGAAAACTTCATAAAGATTCTTAATGCCACACGGCAGCACACCTCCTATATTAAACTCCGTACCTATTGCGAATCTGTTTATCGCGAAAATCCTCAAGTAATATTTGATGCCGGTGATTTTTCTTTATTGTCCAACGTCAATTTAGAAATCCTTTTAAAACGAAATGATTTGAACATACCCGAAATCAAAATATGGCAGCGTTTGATTGATTGGGGTAAAGCAAATCATCCTGAACTGCAATCCGATATTGGCACATGGTCTGAAAGAAATTTTGAACAGTTGAAGGAAGCAGTTGGGCCACTTTTGAAACACGTACGTTTCTTCTTATTGAAATCTAGTGATTATTACACTAAAGTCCGACCTTATAAAAAGATTTTGCCAACAAAATTGAGACAAGAGTTAAAAGCATTTTATTATATGGAAGGAAATAAGCCACCCTCTGACTCCTTAGGACTACGAGATCACTTTAATAATCAAAATCCAAGTTTTTTCGACATTTGGAACATCGAACAGGGTGAACTACAAGGTCACATGGAAGCTTCACCGCCCCAAACTCCATCTTTTCCTCCGTCCTATGCTCCAAAAGTCTCCCCCGAGGATCCATTTCGACCTCCTTCGTATGCGACACATGATTTAACCCCAAACCCATTTCATATTCCATCTTTGGTTGACCCGAATCAACCTTGTACTAAAAATCCAACTATCCTTGTTCCTTTACAGAACAAAGTTGATCATCCTTGTCAGTCTTCTTGGACCACTGATAAAGATATAACAATGAATGATGATCTTTTGCACAAAAAAACCTGCACCGAAATCTATTCACAATTCTATGATTACTTTCGCCGTGATATTTTCTCCCAAAGATGCCATCCCGGTGTCCATGCAGCAGTTGGAGATCTCTCTGGTTTCAACTGGCATCTAAACAACGATCCGAAGGTTTTTAAGGCGGGTCAATTCTTTTCAGAATTCGGAGATTATTCCAAAATAGTTCAAATTCAAAAAAATCAAAAACTACCAAAATTTGCTCATATGGAATTATATGAAATTATATTAACATATACCCCTTTTGAGAAGAAAATAGCTTTTCTTAACAGTTTATATCATCATGGAAATAGCATTAGCTCCCAAGATTCATCAGAACATACACCTTTTCATTCTCTTGTCCTTCACAATTTCTATTTCCATCAAAGCTCGTCTTCAGTTTCTTTCCAAAATTCTGACAGCGCCTCTTGTCTTAATAGTATACCTGGTGAAATACGAATTAATCCCGAGGATATTGAAGCCGTTGTAAAATGGCTGATTGGGAAAGGTTTTTCTATCAATACATTAAATCGCGCTGGACATAGTGCTCTAGGATTAGCTATTCGGTAGGTCTTGTTGTGCTCATCGAATTTTAAATATATCAAGAGACTAATGGATTCTTTTGATTATTATCTAAGACTTGAAAATATTTCGGTTTTGAATAAACAATTTTTAAAAGTAAGTTCACGTTTTATCTCTGATTGTAATTTTGATTATATATTGTATTCACTATTTCCAGATATCTCCTCGAAATAAACAATGGTCACATGACTTGATTTTAGCGATGATTGGAAATGGTGCCTCGATTTATGAAGATACCAATTTCAATGAAGAGTCTAGCAGCATGTAAAATCAAAAAATTATTGTCAACTTTTTTTTAGAAATTTTTAATCACGTGTATTGATTCATTTCAGATATTTTAAGAAAAAGGCACTAGCCTATCCAAATCACCTTTGGCCAGCTGTAAAATACGGTTTGGATATTAACATATTAAGGGCTATGATAACTAATATCGAAGATATTCAAAAGGGATGGAGTGAGCAAGAAGGTGGCAAAAAATGGGATCTTCTCAAATTTTCAGCGAAATACGATCATTTGGACATGGTGACGTATCTACTTGAAAATTCCCTCGAGTTCCATTCAACGGACACCATTGCAAAAGCAATCAAGAAGACTCCGCTGGGTAAAACCAGAGAATATATGGATACCTGGGTAGGAAGATCAGGGGAGGAGAAACGAAAAGCTTTTCATTTGAAATTTCTTGAAAATGGAACAGAGGCATTCATTATTTAATTTTTTTGAAATATTGCGTAGTTGAGTTTTTTCATATATTTATAAACAGTATCATATCAAGTTTTAGAAGCTACATCAACCACGCCCTTTTAATTCTTTGTTGAATGCATTTTTTATGTATCTGCTCTTTGTTGAATATATGAAAATAAAAACATCGATGTGTACATAAGGCAAAGCAACCACTCTACAAATTTCGGAAAAATTGTACTATTGTAAATTTGAAATTGGACTTTTTTAAGTCACCCAAAAACCCTTTGTTGCATACATTATGAATAATCAGATAATAGTCACACGACCTAACATTTCGAAAAAAGGCCTATCAAACATACATAATCATAACCAATGCGTCAAAACCCATTTCCCCATTCTTTTTAACGGAATCGCAGGTGTCCATTTCTTTTTGACTGAATTGCGGGTAATAAGCAGAGTCAAGGTTTGGATATCCGACATCACAAAATTTTAATGGATCACAAAATCGACAATCACAGAAACCCGATAGTTCACATTCCCGTTGTACAATCCACTTCTAATTATCCAGTATTATGCCATAGTTCAGAAAATTTTCTCAAATTAATTTTGATAGATATCAGATAGATGGAAAAGATTGTATTTTTCAGAACATTCTACATTTTAATTGGTCATAATGATAAAAAATTTTTTATAAATGTCAATTTAAAAGTATATAATGAAAAAATTTATTTTTATACATTGAATTATTATTGAATTTTTATGGATTCTTTAAATAAAAAAAAGCATTTCTAGATAGTTTTTATATGTGCTTTCTTATATAGAACATATAGAATCTGAATTATCACACTAAAATTCACTTTGTTCAAAAACTAATTAAATGACATGCTTATTTTAGCTATAATTATATACAATAAGAATTTATATAATCAAATTTCAATAAAGCCAGTGATTATATATATGTGTGAAATTAATAATAATTATTTTTTAGCATTTAATGCTAAAAGATAAATTTTTATAAATTTTCTATTTTTAGAAAATTTATATAATAACTCTATAATATTAATATAATACTTTTATATTATTAATAGTTTACAAGAAGTTTCACTATTATTAGTTTTTATTGATAGTTTACAAAAAGTTTTATGATTATTAATTTTTTTTGTTATTTTTAAAACCAATTTATTATTTGTTCAAATAGTTAATTTATTATAAAAATAAATATTAATAAAATTGATATTCTAATTGCTAGTATATAATTTTTGCTTTAAAAAAATTATTAGTAGTATTAAAAAAATGTTAGCATTATAAAAAAATTATATTGTCATCATTCACTATTTTTCTTGATCATCTAACATGAAATATCATTAAATCCTGAGTGATATTCAATTAATTTCTATTTATAAATATTTATTTATTTATTTATTTTTAATTATCTTTTATTTACATTTAGTGATATTATAAATCACCAATCACTTTATTTATTTATTACACAATTTTTATTAATTATTAGTTATTATATTTTATTGATTCTTGATTTTTAATTATTAATCTATTTAATTTTGATTATTAATTTATCTTTAATTATTAATTTATCTAAAATAATGCCAATGTCTTGCTAATTTTATTTATAATACTCAGATTAATTTGTATTATATTTATTATTTCTTGATATTACACATGTTATAACTTTAGTATTTTATTAGTTCTTTATATTATTACAAATCTTGTAGATTTGTATTATTTTAATATATATTTAAATGAATATAATCTAATATAGAAAATCAGATATCTTGTAATTTATCTTTGGTCTTGACAATAATAAAAAATAGATCAGATTATTGATTATTCTAATTAATTAATTTCTTTTATCTCTCTTGTTATAATAATTCATTATATTTTGAATTATTGTTAATATTTGTTAAAAGATTTCACTTGTAAAAATTATAAATATAATCTTTATCACTTGATATTGAAACTTATATTTTAGAAAAATTTATATTTTATACTTTATATAAATATAATTACTATTATCTATCTTGTAAATATCTTTATTAGCAAAGATCACAGACTGATAATAATATATAATTTTATACCAAAAATTTATTATTGAATAATTTTTTTAGTTATTAATAATTATTATAATTTTTTTCTTTTTTAATAAAACTTTTTTTTGTTTTGATTATTATTTATTATAAAAAATATATCTAATTTTTAATTATTATATAAGTATATATATTTCTATAATAAATTACTAAAATCCAGAAAAAGTATAGTAAAATATAATAAAATTAAAATTATCTTTTTATAATAAAAATTTTATTTTTATTAGTAAATATTTTTTGTTTTTATATTAAAATAAAGCTAAAAATTTGTTTTTTTAATATAAATTTTTTTATAGATTTTTAAATTTAATTTCAGAAATATTTCAAATTGTAAAGTTAATTATACAAATATTTTATAATTAAAATTTAATAATTTGAATTTTTAATTATAAAAGTTTGTATTATAATCTGAAATATTTCTGAAATTAAATTTAAAAAATCTATGTTAAAAACAGATTCTTAGCTTTATTTTAATATAAAATCAAAAAATATTTACTAATAAAATAAATATATTTTACTATTTTTTTCTGAATTTTTGATAATTTATTATAAGAGTATATATATATATTATCAGGAAATTTCTATACCCGTTGGCAATCAATTTATAACCATGCCCATTGGCAATTAATTATCAACACCTCCATTAAAGATGGCGCGGTAACTGTTGTAACATGATGACAAATAAAACATTACCTAATTGCAATTAGTTGCGGCTTATAAAATTTTGGAGTTGTAACGTGTTGCAACAGGTAACAAATAAGCGTCACGTACTTGCTGCACCATCTCTAACCCCCATCATTCACTATCAATAGGGATTATAATTGATTGTTAGCGATTAAAATCGATTATAATCACTGACAATCGATTGCGTTCAAAAATTATCAAAGAACATCATTAGTAATCGATTGCAACCACTAGTGATAAAAAATGATGGTATGTTGATGATTGATTACCAATGGAAATTGTCAGCAATTGATTGTCAACGAGTTCCGTTCACAATCGATTGCAATCACGATCAATACCAATCGGTGAGGGTGTTGATAATTGATTGCCAATGTATAAGATAGCTAATCAATTACTAGTGAGAATTGATTGCAATCGATTGCAATCACGATCGATACCAATCGGTGAGAGTGTTGATAATTGATTGTCAATGTATAAGGTAGCTAATCGATTACTAGCGAGAATTGATTATAATTGATTGCAATCACGATCGTTGCTAATCGGTGAGTTGTTGATGCTCGATTG